TGTGCTACTTTAAAGATTAGATTTTGCAGATGAAGAGTTGCACACTAGCTCAGATTAGGAATTGCGCACTGGTCCAGAATAATCGAGGTAAAGGCTCCGAGAGCCTATAATCGTAAGCTACGATATCTAAGTGAACAAAAGATTTAGCAATCAATATGTAAGAATGCGTACAGTGGTGCATAACTGCAGACTGTGGGGAAGGATACCATTATAGTTAGTTAGGGAGTCATGCTGCCCATCGCTACGCTTAAAACTTAATAAGAGGTCACGTGCTTTGATAAACTTTTGTGAACAACTTTACTATGCCCTACAGCATTTGTGGTGCTGGGTATACTAGTGAAAGTTAGTGCGGTCGTATGTAATACGCGGAATGGTTTAAGGAAGACCCACTTTTTATTATACCGATCGACTCAGAATCATAATCTGAATTAATTTAAGCCTGTATGTCCGTCTGTCTGTCTGACGTCTAATAAACATTTTCACGAAAATTGAGCCTTTGTAGAGCAGCAAAGTCTAAGTTATAATATGTGGTGATGAAAATTTTCCCATAATATTACAGTAATTTCATATAAAGATGTTCTATGTAAGGATTAAACTTGGACTACTTTAGGTTGAGTTTTGGGGCCGCTTACCCCCCACAAATGGGCACATGAAAAATATGCCTTTATAAAAGAAAGAAGACATCATTTTTGTGTTCTATAATAAAAATAAGAATTGTATTAGACAATGTGCCGTAGGTCGGCCTTGCCCGACTACAATGTTCTTACTTGTTTTTTATTGCAAAAATATTGCAAACAAAGCAAACTTTGAGATACAATGGCGTATTGAGTTTGATTGCATGTCTGCAACAGGCAGGAGGACTTGAAATGGATCTACCTGCTATTATATCCATCGATTCAGAATCTGCCTCTGAATTGGTTTAGGAGTTTAGGAGTGCCGCAATATTTGAGATGTTTTGGTCAAATTTGGTACAGTAACGTGTGTTGCCCCAAAGACGAACGCTATGGAAAGTCGGATTACTTTTTTAATCACTTCTCGTAGAGCGTCTTATTTTCAAATGTCGTCATACGAATACCTGTAGCGTGGCGTAGGGTATTTGATGATGACTCGTGTTTCTCCTGGTTTCCTAAGGCTATGGTTAGAATATTTAAGTAAACACGAAGCAATGGACAAGTGTCGCATATAATTTCCATATTTTTTAAGGACAAGCCATGTGATATTTTTAATAAAATTATGTTTACGTGATCAGAATTTTTGAATATTTTGAATAACTGACTCGGCCAAGAATGACGTGATATAAAAATATGTTGTCCTTCCACAAATAGCGTTTAGAGAAAGGAAGTGGAGATTTTTATGACAAATAACCGCATTTGGCCACCTTTGGAGGACTTTCGCCGACGTGATTGAATTGCTGTTGTAAGGTAAGCAGGTGTGAAGGGTTTGACAAATTGTGTTTTAAGAAAAAGTTTCACATGTTTCGAGCCTTCAACTGTAATCGAAAACAATTTTATTAATATGTAAACTATAGCCTGCTCTTCGTGTTTTTGAAGGCTGGTTCATATTTTGTGTAAGGTATGAAGTAAAGCTCACAGAAAAGATAGCTAAAGAACATGGTAAGTGTCGCTAAAGGGACAAATTTATGAAATCCATCCAAAATCGCGGATTTATCATTGACATACGTACTGCTGCCTTGAAGAAATACAAGAAATACGAAAAGAAGAAAGATTTATTTAGCTATGACCAAGTCTTTTATATACAAATATTTTATCGTAAAGCGAGCAAAAAGGGAATATTCGGCCGGGGTTGAATTTCAAATACCTATCACTATTCACATAGCGTTATATTTGTACTGCAAGTTATTAGTACCTTATGAGTATTAAGGAATTTTAGAAATCAATTGCTCTAATAATGTAAAATGACAAAAGGAAAGATTTTATCAGTTATACCTTCGTATGACCGAAGACGATTTTTGCTATGGGTCAATTTGCATCGCCATAGATTAAAGTTTGAACTTTTCTGCCCTACAAAGGGTCAATTTTCGTGAAATCCTTATTAGTATAGGATGCAAAAAAGTGGCCAAGGTGGTCCAAATTTGCTGTAGTTACTTTTCTATCTTTAATTATTATGATTGTCCAATTTTCAAAAAGAAGCATTCAAAATTACACCTTTTTGTCATATGAATTTCAGTTTTCGTGATATGAGCGGGTATTCAAAAAATTGCTCCAGCTAATACCAATGTAACGTGCCAAAATACTATTACTTAGCCACCTTTGCCGAAAAATTTTGAAAATTGCAATTTTTTACATATAACGGCTTTTGAAAATAGGGTGTAATATGGGGAGTGTTCGAAAAAGTGGACCGATCCGAACCGTTTTGAGTAACGTTCGTTCTTAGGGCAAAAATTTCATCAAAATACGTCGGAAATTACGAACTGTAGCTTGAACACATATACATGGACAGACATCGGACGGACAGACAGGCTTAGATCGATTTAGAAAATGATTGCGAATCAATCAGCGTAAAGAGAGCCCTTTCGGATGTTAGATATGTCCGCACCCTGCACCACAAGACGTGTTGGGTATAAAAAAAAATTAAAACTTCATAGTTGTACAAAACTGATCATTACATACCCTACATCACTTCCTTTACAACAATTTTTCACTTATTTTCATGATAAATTAACAAAAATTGTACCTGGTCTCTGTGTGAAAGCGTATTTCTCATGGGGTTTCTTATATGACTCATAACCAAAAAAAACTCAATTATCATCCAATTTGATCACAAAGTATTAAAAATGGGAACGTTTTGCCTCGTCACAGAAAGACTTATTTTCCATGCGAAGTCTGATTTTGTGCAGGCTACCATCAATAAGTCTATGTCGTTACAATTTTGTGAAATTACTTATTCCACTTCGAATAAGTGTCGTGGACCAATTTTCATCACAGAATTGTAATAATTAAAGCTTTTTGACATATAAAGATTTATTTTTCGTAGGCAAGATTACATGGTAGAGGGTTGAAAAATGTGCATCATTTGATCCAAGTTTTGTTGGGAATGATCGCAAAAGCAGTTCGAACTAATCGATTTTTAAAAGCGATCGTCCTTCGGAAGCCATTTTCTTAAAATCGGTTAACGAAGTAATCCTGACTCAAATCATTGGCTTCTTGGAGAAGTGTACCTTGAGCAAATCGCATACAAATGTTTCGAGTAAATTGATAAGAAGAAAAGCTTCAGAGACCCTATATTGATCAGCGTTAAATTCTGAACCGTTATATGTATATATATATATTGTGTGTGTTATTGACACTCTCCTGGTCGCAAAAACGCAGATATCGATTTCAAATTTGCTGGAAAAGTTGGAAAGTTTTTGCACCCGGATTAATAAGGAAATGGAAAGCGTTTCTCTGTACAAAAATTTCTGGGTTTTTGCGCATTATTAACAAATAATGAAAGATAGATAGAAATTTTCTACATTCTCCTTACGAAGAACTCTACTATCTATGTGCGAAAATGTAAAAATTGGCCATGCCCACACAAAATTACAAATGACTGAATTTTCTTTTTTCACTTTTTTGAGGTTTTGTGCTTATCCATCATAAGGTAACACGATAGATTGCTCAAATGAAGATATTATCTGCCTAAAAATGCGTTATGAATGGACATCGCGACCTTGTGGATTAATTTTTTCTTAATAGTGTCTAAAGATTTTAGGGGCGGTAGGTAAGCGAGACTACAACTTTGCTATTTGTTTTCATTTTTCTCTCCTTTCTTTTTATTGTTTACTTACACATGAATTTAGGTTTTGTTGTTTCTTTATGGCACCCATCACCGAAGGATGAGGGGTATGTTCATTTGTTAGAACATTTGCGACGCCTCGGAGGAAGCTTTCTCGACTCTGCAAACTGTACATATTCTTGATCGGTATTAAGATCGGAATAGATTTAAAAATGCCCGTCTGCCCGTCGGCGCGTCTGTCCATCTGCGTAATGTCTATTGTAAAAATTAAAATATTGCCTATGAACTTGCAAAGGGCCTACAACGCTCACACACCCATATAACAAAAGTTGTTTTCTTTGCTTATCACTCATAAAGTGCAACACACACACACACCATATAAATTTCCACATTTATTCGGAAAATAGAAAAAATCAGCCGCACCCACTCAATTTTGTAGCATAAGGAAATGTAGTTCTTTTTCTTTTTTTTAGGGCCACGACGGAATATAATCATCTCACTATGTTTCTATTTTAAAAATGTTAATTCTAAGGCTTAGCTTAAGAATTATTTTTAAGAGCCTACTCTATCGGGTTGTTACTTTAGTGTAGCTAAATTGCATGTGTAAATATATAAGTGCAGATCCATGTGATGTTCTGCAAATGTCTTCTCATTTACATCCTTTAGATATTTGCAAGTCCTGATAATCGAGATGTTCCTCTATATATGCAGCTCTTTTGGTTAACCCAGAGAGCCACGTTAGCGATTTAATGTTAGAACTTTATTACGTTAATCGGCGATTATCTTTAATGCGTAACTTCGAATTTATTGTCACACCTCTACGCAATGATATTCTAGTGTATAAAATTTCTTAAAAAACTTTACACGTCATGGTGTGGTTTTTCTTTTCTTTTTAATTCAGTCGCACACATGAATGATTAATTTGATGTTAATTTGTTTACCTGGAAATTTGCATAGAACGATATCCATTTTGATCACATGTACGTCTTATACGGTAATCTTCAGCGATGAAATAAAAATAAATAAATAAAAATAAAAGAAACGCCTACCATATAAAAATGTACACGATGAGGAAGAGTATATATCACGGGTGTGAGTTGTTACGCGTGCTTTTATTTATAAACTGAAAATGGTTTTGTTGTTTATTTGTATTTCAATGCAGATATATTCGAGAAGTTTAAATTTTTCAAATTGAAAATTAATAATTAACTGCTCTCCCTCTCCCTCTCCCTCTCACTCACTCTCTCTCTCTCTCTGTATCTCTATCTCTCTCACGTACCATCTCCAAGTTCGGGCGATTAAAGAACCAATTGTTATCGCTCACACACATATCACTAGTTTATTGTCAACAAATCATATGGTTTTGACATCCAAGGCATGGACTGGAGTCGTTTAGTTTTTAGTGCAAAGTGCTTCGATTAAATAGTGGGTTTTGTTGAAATTGCTTTCCAGAGAATATTTTTAAAAATGCAGCGAATCATAAATGTTACGCGCAAAATGCTAAGTAATTTCATTAATAATTCATTTATGTGTTTTTTTAGTTGAATTTATGAAAATAATGAAAAAACAAAGCCATAAAAGTGTGCGGTATTTACACGCAAGCGAATTGAAAAGAGAAACTTCTTGCACTTGCGAACTGGAAAAAGAACAAAATCTTGAGCTTTTTAAAATTATGAACAAAGATGATTGAAATTTAATGAAAATACATTCTTGTGTAGCAATGAAAGAATGAATGAAAGAAGAAGTTTTTCTTAAGAGAAGCGATTTAATTGTACATAAGAAATAGCAACAAGTGAGAAGAACTTTGTTTTGCTTTGCTTTGAGTTTGCACAACAAAAAAATACTAAGCAGTAACAATGCAATGATCGTGAGAGATCGTTTATCTAATTATCTTAGATGGCATACGTGCACCATTCGGTGCTTTTTTGTCACAAATTCTTTTACATTCCCTATCAAAGATGCCGAGAAAGTGTGAATTGTTTTAAACCATTCCGTGTCGCGCGTTCCGATGTGGGAAACTGTTTCAGCCGAACAACCCAAAGATGACATGTTCCTTAACCCATTCGGTGCTGCATTCCTTGCCTAAATGATAACTTGTGACCTAAAAATACTTTCGCAATTACACATATAGCCTAAGACACCAACCCGTATACAGTACCGGAAATGATAAGCAATTGTTCGCATTGGACACACTGCTTATGGACACCACTCTATTCATGAACGGTGCTTAATAATTGTTGGCAAGCTTTTGGATCGATTTAACAGATCTTTAAACGTGGTGACAGTGATAAGGGAAAAATACAAATCCAACGAACGACAAACTATTATAGATTCATCCTGATTGCAACAAATATTTTGTGGGTGCTTCATCCATTCATCTCAATCCGCTCAATGCAGCCATTTTAAAGATCCAATACATTCTTTGATAGTTTCTATTGAAACTACCTCGGATGGGGTTTGTTTCGTTCTCTTTTTTCTTTTTTTTTTTTTGGTATGTTGAACAGAGATGGACTAAGCCAATTAATTTGTCTTAGTCCATCTCGTTTCGTTCTCTTAGCACTTGGATTGAGTCAGTATAAGAAATTATTGCTGATGTGTGAAATCGCGTGGAGAACACGCTGACACTTGGGTATTTAATTCACTCAATATGTAAGTTATAGGAATGTTAAAAAAACATATGTTGACTCTTTACTGTGTTTTCAATTACTATTATCGTTGTTTTCTTTTTTTTTTTGATAATGGAATCGTTCTTCTCGTTTGTTATCCGTAGAAAGAAGTTACAATGCGCCAAATAAACATAACTTTTGGTTTTGTTTACTTACAAAAGCAACGTTTGCCGTAAAGGCGAATGTGTTCTTACTTTTTTTTTTTTTTTAATAAATAATTGGGATTACTATGGCAGGCATATTGCAATCAATATCGAGATATTCACAACTCTTTCAGTGGGCATGAACGATAGCGTGGCTGGATTAAAGTGTTGTACTCTGTTTGTAGATTGATGACGTACTTCTCTGCGATATCGGAAATTTTTTTGGTCGAAGGCAATTTATCAATATATCAATATATATATATACACCAGTGTATGTGTGTGCTTGTGTGCATCCTCAAGCTTCAAACTGAATGCGTACTTAAAGTCCTTCCGCTGCGTTAGCTTCTATATTTCTTATCACTGTAGGTCACGAATGTTTATTCATTGATTATTGCTTTTACACCCTACGCCACTTGCCGTACTAAGTATATTAAGATTGTACAAATCTAAGGAACACCCACAAGAGCCTAAGATAGACCTAAGATACAGCGATCGATTCAGAAAAAATTTCACACACGCCCATTTGTGGATCCGTCTATCCATCAGATTTTTAGGCCTCAATTTTTTTGGTAGTTTCTCGAAATTTGGTAGATTTATGATTTTTAGCTTGAGAGCAAACCCTTTTGAAAATGGGTTGGATCGAACAATTTTTACGACCACTCTCAGCATAACGCCTTTTTTTTAATCGGCATTAGTCACAAAATAAATTACATCAAAATTTTTCAACAAAACTCGCCAAATAATAATATATCGATATAGTAAATTGATGTGAAAAATTGAGATCGGATGGGCCGATGTTTTGAATTCCTTCTTATATAATCGTTCTGTCAAAAGAGAACTGTTTATATATATGGCAAAACTGTCTAATTCTTAATTTTTCACAGTCAGAATTAGTTCATGATAGTAATTTGACATAAGGATAAACTAAGTCAATTTTCAATCATATTTCCCGCTTCGTATAAGTGCTCTGATGAAAGGCAAGCCTTTTAAAAAAGTTTTGATGATAAAAATTGATCCATTACAAAAATTTGACATGGAAATTCATTACATAGTATTTGGCTGCTTTGACGGATCACACCCCCACATAGGAGCGCTTATAAGAAGTAAGCTTTTGTAGGGTAGTAAAGTATAATTTTAATGCCTTGCGACAAAAATAAGTTAATAGGAAGAGTATCTTTGACAAAAAAAACTAATTTTGCTAAATGTGAATCCTATCAGTTCATATTTTGGGGCTCCTCTTACATAAGAGCTCCCTTGAAAAGTATGCCTTTACCTGGAAAGAGAAGATAATTGTTGGTATTTTGTCATGAAAATAAATGAATTGTTTTAGGCGAAGTAATGTACGGTGTCTAATGATCGATCTTGCTTGGATATATTGTTTTTACTTGCAAGTGTTTTGAAAACCAACCAACCAAAACAAAACAATCTATACTCTTACTATAGAAATTACATTGGAAACAATGGAGGTTGAAAATGATGTTAATATTATTGTGATCGAAAAATAGTAAAACTTTTCGATGCAAGTCGCGAAGGCTTATTCAGGGTAATTTTCTCCTTTGAAAATAGCTGATTGACTTACATGTACAGCCAAGTTCACGCCGGTATATTTTGTGGCTATGCTTATAAGGCATGTTTGCTTACTTTTCTACGGAAGAAGAGGATTTCATCCGGTTTTAAAATGAGTGAAAAACTGAGCAAAAAAGCTGCATCCATTTTCGCTTCAAACATGTGTATTTCAGTTTCCGACATGTTTAGAGCATAGTTTTATTGACAATGGGCTGGTCTATCACATAATTAAGCCAATTAAAGATTAAGAATGCAAGAATCTTCGATTGATAGAGACCTTATTAGCATCGGCAAAATATCGCTGGTATCGACGCGATCGATTTTGAAAAATCGGTTGAAATCACTCGATATCACGCCACGCTAACAGAGGAAAATCCGCGATGTTGATTCAAAGTTTCATTTTCTTTAGTTTCGCTAAAGAAACAACAAGAACAAAGTGCAAACGTTAGAGAATCTGTGCAATGCATTAGGATTTGTTAAAGCTTTCTAAATGTTAGACGAAGATGGTATAAAATATAAAACCGTTCAACGTTTGCACTTAATTTCTGGTCAGGGAGAATGCCATTAAACTTTTAGAAAAATGAATTTAAAATTTTTAAAATTCTTTTGTTTATTAACATACATTCAATTTAAAATTCAATAAAGTCGGTCTGCCGCATAAATAAACTAAGCTGTAATGGCTGCGTGAAAAATTCAAATAAAATTGTCAACAAATCTTTTGTTACTAACTGTACTTTGACTAAAGGATCAGACCACTGTAAATTGTTCAACAAAACAGTTTATTTTTCGTCACAGTAAATAACGCCCTAAATAAACCCAAGAATGACCATTGTGGGTGTGCCAACATTCCAAGATGCCAAGCATTTAATTTTTCGAACAAAATTGAGTGGCAATATCCGTGTAGCAGACACCTCTGCTCGGCGTTTCTCTCGAAATATCATTTTTCAAAACGTTAGGTAGCTTAACACACACGATTTTTTTCACTCGAATTCTTTACGGTATCTTTAGAAGAACATTCTCTGAAATATTGTGTGGTATATATTTCCGATTTTTTCCATGTTACTTATACTATAAAACGTACACCGCGCCCAACCAAAATATAACAGGGTATGAGCTTTTAGTTCTTCTCTTTTTATTTTACTAATATACAGGCCCAAGTACCTTTCCAAATATTATTAAGCTATCACCTTTCCTTCCCTCCAAACGAAAGTTTGTTAACAAACGACTTTTTTAGGCTGTTGCAGGGTCGTTATCTCTTAAAGAAATCATTTCCGTAAATATTTGGAAATAAGGATACAAGGGTATAAAAGTCTAGGTTAACTTAACCATTCCCACTGTCTCTTCAAACCCAATAGAACATCTTTCTTGTTCTCCCTGCTCATCCCCAGATATTTCTCAAAGTATCCTTGAAAATGTGTCAGTGTGTGTGTGCCATGAGATTAAAAGTCATTTCTAATAGTTCAGCAACCTTAGCTCATGATGACTAGGTGGACCGAGCGATGACGCTTTCAATCCGATTTCCGCTTTTACCAGACGCTCTAACAAAGTGCGTTTAAGAAACCATGTCACACATAAATCAACAAACCTGGCATAGATTAAAAAAAAAAAAAAATATTTGTAAAAATTAATATAAAAGTCAATCTCATCTATTCAAGTATGTTTGGGGTTATTTTCACAAAGGCATTTGTTTTTCGTTTCGTTAAATGTGACTAAATAAAGAAAATATTTCTATTATGTTGCTTTCTCATCAATTTTTCTTATGGCAGCTAGCCATTGATTTGATTTGTTTACAGCGATATCACTTGCTTAGGATTTTAGAACAAATGTTTTCAATATTCAAATGGGACACTTTGCGTATTAGTAAACAACGTTCTCTTGTAAAAAATTTCATGTTTTACAGAATATAACAAAATCTTAAGAAAAAATCAATTTCGAATTTTTAATTTACATATGCACCCGTATTTTGTTGTTTTGTTTTTTTCAAATGTTCTTTAATTTACTTACACGTTTTTTTAATTGCAAACTAATGTTCAGATGAAAAATTATAATTTACATATGAATATATGTTAGGCAGCCAATCGCAAATTTTACCAAAAATAATTAAAATAATTATTGTATTCTCTTGTGCT